AACTGGAGAACTGTGTCGTTTCTGAGTGAAAACACACGCAGTAATTGCACTGCATACCTGACAGATGCACAGAAATGGAATGTGCGAGGAATGAGCCAGAGAAATGACATCGTTTTGGGAGGACGTGAGAAAGATGTTAATGTGGGAACCGCACTGGACGGCTGCGCTCTCACCTCCCGAAGCGCCGCGTGGACAATTCATGACAAGGAAAATTACAGTGTCTTCAACCAAATTTAAAATTCAGAACGGAGGCGGACCATGGTGAGAAAAGAAAAAAGTCTTAGTCAGTGAAATCTGGGCGTTAAAAAAAAGAGAGACAGAGACTGAAGTACATAGAGAGGACTGTACTCCTATGATAAGGCCCTTCTCTGGGATTCGGAACACAGTGTACCTTGTGCTGTGACCCCTAACATCTGGCCAGTGTTCGGCACCCTTTTGCATCCTTATGTCGTATTTTCCGTCTCCGAAGGCATATTAAATCAGGCTTCGAAATCTTCTTTAGGAAATGTCTCAAAAGGCAACGACGTGTGGAATCTGCCTTCTGCTAACGAGGCGCACAAGCCCAGCTATGTGGCTGTCGCAATGCTCAGTGTTCACAATACCCCAGATAAGGGCATAATCCTCGCCTGCTAGCCAAGAGTGCCTTCCCTAATGTCGGCTGCCAAGCCCTGTAACTAACCTCCATTATAATGAGTAAATGGCTGTTTTCCCTTCAGTTTCCACTTCATAATGCAGTAAATGAGACTAAAGGAGAACAATAGCACCATGCTGGGTTTGGGTAGAAATATTTTCCGCATCAGAGCTTACATGTAAAGCCAACGAATGGAATCCAGCTGGTCCTAGTTGGACCCATAGCCTGGAAATGGTGTTTATATGGCGAGGGGGTGGAGCTAAGGAAAGTGGATGTTGGGGAACACCTGAAGAAGCAGGGATGGCTGCATCTCAACCAGAACTGCTGGTCTGCCTCTAACTAAGCTATGATTCCTTCTGATTTTGGACCTTTCAGTGTAAAAGCCGTAAAGGGACCTTGGCCCCATTTGGGTTTCCATTTTGTTTTTGACATTTATTTTTCTACTGGGTCCTTGTGGCAAACTGCTGTCATATACCTGCCAGAATAGAATTACATCACTCTCGTCAGATGTAAAATGCCCTTCTATTTACGGAGACGGGAATACCGGCAAAAGCATGTGATCATACGGTTGGATAAGCACGGAGAATAACCAAAGGAAAAAAAAAAAAAACGTAACAAATCACGGCCCAGAGAAATTGAGTTGATATATAGTCTAAAATGAAAGTAGTCTTGATTAAAGAAAACATTTTTCTTTATGGGACTGGAGTCAAATTCATTTTTTGGAGCGAATCTACAAGCTGAGTCACTAACATCCAAGCGCATTGTACATTATACCCAACACTGGTTGGCTATTCATTATATTTGGTCTAATTAGGAGCAGTGTGGAAAGCAGGAGATAAGTGAAACGTGTTTGATGTAGCAGTCTAGAACGTTATTCAGTTCGGGTGAGCTGAAGCTCATTAAAATGCTAATTTTTTTTCTCCCACTTTTGGGCAATTTCCACCTTTGTGGAGTTCCAAAGGAATGCAAACTACAGCGCCACACGATTAAAGGTAAGAGTGTTTTGAACTCCATTCGGGGTATTCATAGCATACTAACAGTGGGGATAAAGCGTGTTAAAACAGTCAAAGGGGGGTTTATTGGATGCTTATGACTACTTTACCCTTATATGTACCTACTGATGTTTAAAACGACCTCCATATCAAACAAGGGTTATACAAGCTCCCAATGAATTCAGAAAATCTGATGTTGTTACACAATGATTCTCTACACCAGTGTTTCCCAATCCGGTCCTCGCAGCCGGTCCATGTTTTTGCTCCCTCCCAGCTCCGGGTAGCAAAAATGTGGACTGTCCATGGCTCCCCAAGCACCGGTCTGGGAAACACTGCTCTATACTTCTCTGAATGCAAAATTCAAACTATATTACTTATCACACAACTGAATTCCCTCTGTTCATGGGATTGAATTTAAATTATATGAATTTAAATGATAATTTACAGGTATTAAATTGTAAATGGTGTTTGACTATTAAAACATGCATGTTTATGGTGTATTTTTACTTGAATGTTACCTGTTACGGTAGACCATCACATTATTCTGCAGCTTTTAAAAGAAAGACACGCACCTCAACACTACGCACACCCTGTCTCTCATAATTTCCCAACAGAAGACTCAATTTTTAATGTACCTCCAGGAAATATAGACAGATTGGGTACAGTGCAAAATTTACTAGGGCAGTCAAGCGACACATCAATCTCAGTTTCTTGTATAGGCAACATTAACTATAGAGTCCATAACCTGGGGGGGGGGGCTCATTTACAGCTACAGCCCTGCAGAGGAGCAAGAGATTTCATGTCTGGGATTATTTTTCTTAAATTTTTTTCCCACTGTTTATTTTAAAGACAGAGAATTAGAGAACACTACAGAGGAAGGGGAGATGACATTGTATGTACATTTGCCGACATCCTTTGTGATGCGCTGCAAAAAGCCAGTACATCTCAAGCACATTTCTGGGGATTGCGGTATCGGGGAGACGCCGACGACGATGACAGCGATGTGAGTTTTAGAAACTCTGAGGCAACAAAATGAGAGCATCACGGCTCTTTGTTCCTCACAAAGCAAAATGCCTTCGGAATTCGGAGACACTGGCCCCTAATCTTTTCTATTAATCTCTCCCGTGAATTCGTAACATCAAAGGTCTTCCCTGTGCAAAAATTTCAGAACGTTCCTCACCAAAGAGTAGAAATATTTACAGTCCCTAACATACCTTGAAACATAGTCAGACTGAGTACCCCTCAATAAGCGTAACTAAATATGTTAATTTTAAGTACAAAGAAATACATATGTCTACTTTAAAGTGTAGGCTCCCCAAATTGGCCAAGCCCTCCCACATTGCAAATGGTCAAATCAGCTATAAATATTTTTTATATTAGAGGGAGCACGAATATCAGCTGAATTAAAATCACATTTATATAGCGCTTTTGAAGACGCCCAAAACACTTTACTGAACCAATGGGGAGCCACTTCAACCACCACCACTGTGTAGCCCCCACCTGGATTATGTGACGGCAGCCATCCTGCACCTGTATGCTCAGCACACAGTAGCTAAGGTGGTGGGGGGGCAGGAGAGAATTCACCAGTCAGATATAAGGGCCAGATTTGAAAGGGCCACAGTGGGCAATTTTAGCCAGGACATCGGGTTACCAGCCTTACTCTATGGAAAGATGCCCAGGGACCGTTCACTACCTCAGAGAGTCGGGACCTCAGCTTTACGTCTCATCGGAAGAACGGCACCATCTTACAGTGTGCCAGTGTGGGGAGCCACACGTACCTCAGGGTGGGCTAACCTGTTGGCCACACCAGCTCTTTCATTCGTTCAGGCAAATAGGGCAGCCCCCCCCCCACCCACGGAACCTGTATTCTGCCAATTTAGCGAGCGACACACACATAGCGATGAATAGCGGTCTTCACAGACGGCCCACTGTCGGATTGATTTCTCTCTCACTTCAAATCCAAAGGTCAGCCAGCTCAACGTGTAATTTGTAATACCTTCACATAAATGGCAGCTCTATAATGGAAAGTGATCATGTTAAGGCGCGCTGTGAAATATCTTCACTGCAGCCATTTGTTTAGTCATTTATATGCGCGCTTATTCAACCAGTGTATATTTTCAAATGTTTTTTTTAATTTTTTTTTTTTAAATGAAAATGAATCTCCCTCACAATAAATGTTCAGGAAAGACAGAAAGCATTTCTCCTTTTTAACAGGGACTCCGAAGATAGCTTGCAGGACTGTAACCATGTCGCAGCATTGCACTTTAATGAACAATAGGAACGGGTTCATCCTGACATCAATTCAGTGTCTAATTACAGAGCTTTTAACCATTTAAAGGCAGGGAAATGGAAACTGCAGCCTCCCTCTTATGAAAGCAACACACGAAGTGAAATATCTGGTACAGAGAGAAGTTGCAGTACAGGCCATAGTGTGACTATGGTTATGTAACCAAAGGGACTGTGGATCCATTTAACAGCATTGCTGGAGCACAGTGGGAATCAGCAGTCATTATTATCACTAGGTGTTAATAACCTCTGGGAATATCAGCGAGCATCACTAATATTCATTATGCAGATAAGTCTTTGACCAGAGGGTAGCTGGACGACCTTGACCACTATACTTGTACCAAAAACTGAAGACTTGCTGTTTGTTTATGCCGTAGGGATGTGAAAGGAACAATTTAAATTCAAACCAAGAGCCAGCAAAGCAGTATTGTTATAAATGAACTGCCAATCAACTCTGGTATTAATGCTATTATAAATAATGATAAGTAAAAATTTATATGAAACAACGGAAACAATGTTGAAATACGTTGAGACTAACTTCTGTGTCCTAATCTACTAATCCAACAAACTGTCCCGGTCACTCCAGTGTTCATATACCTAAACATACGCTATTTGCGTGTAATGTAATTGCAAAATGTAAACTTTCCTGTTCCCATTTATCTATAATATTTAATGTAACATACAGGCAGTCCCCAGGTTATGAGCGAGATCCATTCCCTAAGTCGGTATTCAAGTCGAGTTTGTGGTATATAATATTATTATTATTAATAATAATAATTATAATAATAATAATAATAATAATAATAATACAGAAATAATAAAAGTAACTGCATACTGTACTCTAGGTCCAGCTGTCGAACTGCTGAAGTCGTGCAGTGTTTTCATGACCGTCACAAATTAGTGTGTGCCTTTGTTATTACAAACCTTTGCATTTAACCTGAACGTTTTATATAATAGACTTCATGGTAATCCGAGTTGCAGTGTTAAGTACGAGTTGTCCATAAGTTGGACGTTCTTAGCCCGGGGACTGCCTGTAAAATAACTCAATGATTCAGTTATAGTGCCGATGCAAGCGACTTTGGGGAACATACCAGGTTCGAGAAGATCTGGGGGTCACCTCTCAGTGGAGTGATGTTCTGTGTTCCAGCATCCAGCCAAGGCACGCTCTTCTGGAGTTGTCATTGTGTCAGAGGACTGGAGAAGCAAGAGGCAACACTCACACTTAATATTTGTGCATCGCCAGAAGTTGAATTCTAATATGCTAACCCGCATCCTTGGTTGTTTTAAAACCCAAATCACTTATAGCGGCAAAACAAACGTAACGTAGCACGCCAAGCGCCGAGAGCTGGCCTCCACCTTAATGAAGCGCTGTTCATGGCTCCAGTAGCTACCTGGAGGAATCCCCTCCGTTTTCAGTGCTATTTATGGGCGTCACAGTAACAGTAATTCAAGATCTTGCAGGATTTATCCATGTGTCACAATGCCACATGTGTCACACGTCACAAACAGCAGTGAGATTCAGGGCTTTTAGAGTGGTCACGTGAGCGACAGGTGACTCAAAATATGGCTGCATTTCTTTTCATTTAGTCCATAAAAAAATGTCAAAAACAGGTTGCACTTTGCTTGATATCGTTTAATTAATTGAACGTCACATTTAGTCCATGAACTGTCAGATGCTAAAGGGCATAAACGCATTGAAAGCTATTATACTTACTAAGAAATTAGTATATTTTACTCTGGCGGTGTTTTGATGTTTGATGGCATTTGTGTCTAAATGATTTCATTACTAATTGATTGGCTTCTCATTATGTTGTTGCTGCATGAGAGACACCGTGGGATGATGGTGTGGGAAGGTGTCTTTACGTCATACATACATAAGATCAAAGTGAACAAACGTGTTAAGTGCACATTCACGCAGCCGTTCGAATACTAGCCGATAAAATCACAGCTTTTTTCTAAAAGTACATTTTTATTTCGCCAAGCCGTCCTTCCTGTGCCACGCTCGCCATCTGGAACATATTTACGACAGCGCAAATCTGTGTTTGTAATTAATCAGCTCGCCCCTCGCTACACCAACAAGCGAATCCGACGAGATCGAGGCAGAGCCGGTTCATGCTGTGATGGGACCTGCCGTGATTTCGCAATCAGAAGCGTGGCGTGCCGGGGGGGCCGTGGGGGACAAGGGGCGATGAGAATAAATGCCGCGGCTGGAAATAACAGGGCTGCAGGTCAGCATGATTGGCTGCGTGGTGCTGAGCACAGGTATAAGCTTACCCCACCAGACATAAACAAGGACATGAAATTAAATAAAAACAGAAAGGCAGATGGACAAATTTAATCCCTAATGGTGAAAAAGCCCCAAACAGCCCACTCTTCCCGTTTCTTGCAGTGACCCCCTGAAAAGAATGCAACCGTTAACCTTAAAATTTTATTTTTTTAATCACCAAACCCATCTGTTGCTACATTGGAGAACTGATCTCATCACTTCCTTAGCAACTCCTCGATGACAGAATGCTTAAATCGAATCCCATCTTCATTCATGTGGGCAGGAAGCCGTTATCTTACACGCAAAGTCAGAAAACGGGATGGTATGTGGCTCACTGGGCTAGAACACGGTCCCTGTAATCGAAAGGTTGTTGGTTCAAATCCCACAGTAAGCCACAATCACCATGGGGCCCTTGAGTGAGACCCCTAACTCCCCAATTGCTCCAGGGACTGGCTGCCCCTGAGAGCATCTGATAAACTAGTAAAATGCAGAAGAAAGTTTAGACTGCAGCTCATTTCCAGGGGGAAACAATTATTTCATATACAAACATTCCATAAATTCATAGACAATGTATACAATGTTGCTTTAGTAAGGTCATTCCTTTCAGAATGTTGCTGAAGTTTATTCCTGTGAGTTTTCCCTCCGTCGAGCACTTGCAAATTCCGCACCCCACCCGCTACCCCATTCAATCTCACATTTAGACCAATTTATTAATCCCTGAGGGGAAATAAAAGAAAGCAAGCGTAGACTACCTGATATCCCCAGGAGGTCTCCAAACTGAAACGATAAGCGAGGCCCCCAGGTGGCGGTTTCCGAGATCAGAGGAGCGTGTCGCCGTAATGACCCCCTTCGCGGCCTGCTGTGACCCCGGCATGCGGTGGCAGCAGCCGAATATTTAACGCTGCAACACTAAGAAAATCCCAGAGAAAAATCCCAGAGAAAGCACTGGTCTGCGGGGCACGACAACATCCGGGCGCTCAGCTTCCGTAGGCTTCTCTATCTATACGGCATTATGAATCTGTAAATATCCTTTTAAAGAGCACTTTTCCTGTTCATTATGTTCCTCTCATCCAGGCCTCTCCTGAAATGTATTCTACTACACAGCACGGCGCACAAATGCACATTAAATGAAATGCGTTGTGTCACTTGACATCTGAATGGCGACCACAGTGAAAAGAACATTACCCCAGCCCCCATGGTCATTGGCTTTATGGCTTTATGGCTAAATACAGTTAAATGTGAGACATTACATAAACTGAAAACGCTGTGCTGATGTAGTAAACAGAAATAATGCGTTCTTGCTATTGATTTTCTCAAAATAAACACGCGGTAAATTGTTATTAACAGTGTCAGTAGCGAACATCATAATGGCTAAACAAAAACCTTACAAGGTTATTACAAAGAGTAAATCTTAACTCTACAGTTAAATATATTAATATATTTAGTGGGGGGTGACAGATAATAATTGAATATTTATTGACTATTTGATAGATTACAGCATAACAAAGGAAAAAACCTGATCTTGTTCTCATCTTTCAACCTGAAGAAGGAATTCTCTTATGTGGGGGGGGGGAACTTTTCCCATTTATCTAGTCTTAGATTTACTGGGATAGGCACCAGATCACTTTGGTACTCTTTGGGTAAAAATATCATATTCTTGCGAGATATTCCTGCTTGTGGATTCCCTTGCAATTAAAAATTACTCGGTAATGGACAACCACTGTTGACGTGATATGACAAAAAAAAAAAAAAAAAACCTCAGATTATTAAGCATGGAAATATTTCACAACAATCTTTACCCAATATGGGGGGATGTATATGTGTGGTCACTGTAAACAGATTGCAGTCAGGGTTGTGTGTTCAGTTATTCCTAGAAGGAATTTCTCCAGCCTGCATTATCAAGACGTACCATCTGCCTCCAAACATCTTTGTGGTACTTTTCATTTTGGCTTCAGGGACAGTCACTGGCCATCCAACTGCCGTGGCCCAAAACAATACGAGGACACCCCCGTTTGTACATTTCATGCTAAATAAGGTGACCACCAATAATATAAGCAGACACAGAATGGAATTTCAAAATGAAAGAATGTTCACCTTTCTATTGAGTCCCGGTTAGAGGTTTCTAGATTTGTAAGCTAACTTCCAAGTAAGGTTACTACTGTAGTAATAGCATGTAGAATATTGTTTAGACATTAGCACAAGTTCGATGTGTTTAAAATGGTTAGACAACATGCGAGATTCCCAGCATATACAAATTTTTTGTTTGATTGGCATTTGAACATCAGAGACATTTAAATTCATTCTATAAAAGCAGAAACTGAAGATCAATAAAAATGTTCTTTTGAAAATTTCCCCTTGAGCTTTAATAAAGTCTGTCTGTTTGAGTCCATCTATCCATCAAGATTTATTTTTTTTATGGTCTACGAATCCTGTAAGGAACGTATGAACTTGGTTTACATTCTACAGGTCTCATAAATCAGTCTAGCTCAAAGATTTTTTTTTCTGATCAATACTGCTTTACATTTAGAGGTTTTTTTTTTTTTTTTTTTTAAACAGTACTATACTGTGAAAATACCTGTACCTCCTCAACACATTTTGTTCAGTCTTGCGATCATAACATTTTTGACAGCTGACTGAATTCATTCTGCTTACTTTCCTCTTTCTTAACAACGCATCGATAATTCCTGAAATGCGAACGGTAGCAGAGTGATAAATTGATGCTCCGCTTCATTTTATGCCATTAATATGCAATTCATATAAATATGGAAATAATTTCTGTATATTTTCCCTCCAACTCCAGTTCGCCTCACACTGTCAGCAACTGTTTTTTAAATAGCATATTTCAAATGATTCACAATCCCATTAAAAAGCAAATGCAAAACCGAATTTATAGGACTAAATGCATGCTTCCAATAAATGCTTTTGCCATCTCGTCCATTTCTCTAATGGATTTGTTGCTATAAATCGTGACCATGCCAACATCCACAAACATACAGGGTCTCGGAGACCTGCGTTCCTGTTATAAAAAAAAAATGATTCAACACGGTTAAGCCTTTTAACACTTAATACTTTTTACATACAGCAACCTAGAGTTTAACCTACTAACACAGCTGGAGCTTGTACCAGATTTGTCCTGGTTAAGTACCTTAATTATTCCATGGCTCTACTGCAGTAGCCCTGTCTAGGAGCTACTGTACAGTTAACAGGAAGCAAGGCTAAATCCTTAACCCCGATACTCGCTAAAACCAGATTAGCTCCACTCTGAATTCCATACGTTTCATTTAACTCACGGCAGAAGTTAATCTTAAAGAACGCAAGAACTTTACTTGGTTATAGAGGAGGCGGCTGAGCATTATTTCAAAATGCAAGATATATTTTAGGACACAATTGGCATGTTCAAGATACTTGACATTTTCCATTTCTTGCCATCCTGGTGAGGTGCGAGATATTTCCAATATCAGGATAGTATCAAAGGCTCTCTTCGGTTTCCTGTGGCCAAGGATCTGATGTTAAATTGAAACACCTGCTCCTTAATATCGTCATAGTGACATCATTACTATTCTGAACCTCATAACTGGTTAATTCATATGAGAACATTACTATAGGCCTATTTTATTATGGGACATATAGGATATTAATAGAACATAGATTGTGATATATAGATGATGTTAATAGCACTAATCATGTATTATTAAGAAAGCTCTTTCTGTGCAAGTATAAATGGAAAATGACTAAATATTTAAGGCTTAACACTGTATATTGCAGTGGTCAAAACTGCACACACTTAGTGTCCGACAAATTTTATTTCGCTCCAAGCGTTTACTCAAGAACAGAGTGCTTTCAGTGTAGAAACCATGTTGAAAGAGAGATGCACTAGGAAACGTGCAATGGACATGCAATTCAAGGGTTATGAAGAAGCTTTAAAAAC